ATGTATTCAAAGTGGTATTCATCTGAATATAGCTGAGGGCACATTTAAAAATTTATTTCTTATAATCATATCAGATCCTAGGATTCATCTATGCTTTAGCTTCTATAGTTACTTTGTCTGACAATGATTGTCTACTTATATAGTTATAAACTGTAAAAATAAACTCCATTTCTAGAAGCCATGTATTCTTTATATTGTCTATTTCAACACCGTACTACTAGATTTCAGATATTTACAATGTCTTATAATTGTGGGGAGGCCACATTGCTGGTCGCCTTCCCTAAGCTTTCCGGGAAGGGAACATTTCTATATCTTTACATATTATATGTAATCATTAATAAGGAATACTAAACTGTATGCCTTGAGATCATACATTTGATTTTTTGTTCTCTACTCTTAGAATCTTCCTCTGTCTCTCTACTTCTCTCTCTTACTCCCCCAACATGTTCTCTTCAAGGCAGAGAGACCCCTCACCTCTAGAGGACGAAAGAAGGATATCCATGTCCGAAGTGTTCTTGCCAGTTAAGAAGGCTAGTTTTTCTCTCTTGGCCCGTCGCCACTCGCCCCTTAGAGCCTCTGGTTTGGTGGTACATGTTGGGAAATTAATCAAAGATGTAAATATGTTTAAGGAGTGTCTCAAAGTGAAAAGGGTACTAGACCTGCTAACTATTAGAAAAAGTGTCCTAGAGACTATTTTCTAGATTAATTGAATTGGCAGTCAAGATATACAAATATAAATTGAAAATTGAACTTGATAGAATTACAGCTAGAGTGATGAATTAGAACAGGGATTAAAACGTGTTGTCTGTGTAAAAAGGATAAAATATGAGTAAGATAACCATTCACCAGCTATAGGAGCCGCAAAAGATGTATGGTAGAGAGTAATTCTCTTTGTGAATTTGGATAAATATATTTTGTGCATTGTTTGAGTATTTTCTGGATGTGTGTGGTTTTCTTGATCCCTACTTGTTAGACGAGATAGCTTGCACATAATGTTGAGAGTGCAAATAATCATAATCGTCAAGGTACTGTGACCCCAGAAGCAAGGTGGAGGCACTTTAACGCCATAGTATATTTGCAGCATTTCTCAACCAGTTATCGCTGCTTTGCATGCATCACTCTAGAAAACATGAGAAAATAATAGACTTCGACAGAAATGATTGTAATTCCCTGAGAATCAGTGTCATAATATAGAGACTGTGTTCCTATATCAATTGTTGTATCAAAGCTAATATGATGATAATTGCGATGACAACATTGGGTTCGGTCAGAATGCCATATAAATAATGCAAAAAAGGTTAACTGGGGAGCAAATGTGCAGGGTTCACTACAGTAGGGCAGAGGAAGTTCGCCATTGACTGACTAGTTACCTGGGGAAGACACATGTCCGATGTTATTGTAATTAATTACAACCTAGTAGTGTCATGGAGGTGCACAGCTCCCTGTAGGTCAACTACTCCATAAGATCACTTCCAGAACTGTTAGATTCACTCCGCTCTCTGGGACCACTCCGGCTCCCATGGCGGACGGTAAGGCACGGAGAGGGACGGTGGGAATCAGGATGGTCCACTTATATGAAGGTTGAGTATCTATAATAGCGGTAGAAGACAATACGCAGAGGCCTTCCAGACCAGAGGATGCTGCGCGGTATAGATCCGTTTAGCTCGGTCCATGCATGGCGTGAGTCACTGTACGGTCTCTCTCAAGGCAGGGGGGTCACAATCATGACAAACATGTTGGTTGGTGGATATTGCCATGCCTAACCTCACAAATATCTCTCGCACATGTGAATTTACTTATTATTACTAAAAAATAACCATTACTCATGCACGCTTTAACTTCGGTGTAATGTTTGTATTTACATCTGGTTAAAAGTTAAAGCACATTTATGAGAATGAAATGAGGAGAAAAGCTGAAGTATTTTACTTGCTTCAAAAGATCTCGTGTACTCAACATCTTCAGTACTATTGTTCTAGGGGTGTGGGTTCTTTTAAATTTACCTCATTTGGCTGTTTCCTGCCGCTTTTGGCCCGGGGGGGCCCGAATCCCCACATTTCAGCTCAAAAATCAACAAACTCAACGAGTTGGTATTAGAGCTTGCTCCAATAATACGTCTCAGCCCAAAGGGGCCCAGTAATTCACAGTTATTGCCAGGAGCATTTTCTATTATTATTTTAATTTCTCCTAAGCACAACAAGCTGCACCAGTGCAAGGTAGCAAGAGTCTTGATCACCTCTGGTGCTCAGAATAGCACGCAGTTACTGGGAGGTGGACTAGTGGGCCAATGGCAACCCATATAGCATAAGACTCCAGCACATGCCAACACCTTTATGTGTTAATAGGGATCTACCTGAGTTAATAACACCACTTATGTATAATCTAATCAATAGTCTTTTTCTGTTTCAAGGATAATATGGTGTTACCAATACTTACTCTTCTGGACGTCCAACGCACCCAAGCAGCAAGCGTGGCAGGAAAGAAACCAGACTCCACGCACTTGACGCCCAACCTCATTTAATTTTATTGTTTTTCTTCTGACTTAATGCACTCAGATGCCAAGTCTATCCATTTATATCTGATAATGTATGTAACATAAACACATCATTAGACCTATTCTATTGTTGA